GCCCCAGTTTTGGAGGGGTGCAGCAAAACTTTAGGGGCTTGGCAAGGCAGCCTCTGTGGGGTGAAGTGGGGGTCCAGGATCAGAGCCTCACTCAGGGGGCTGCAGACCCTGGGGCAGGAGGCAGGGCTGGGGGCAGCTGCAAAGGGCCATGACACGTGGGGGATACAGGCAGGGCTGGGAGCCAGGAGCCGGTGGGGGGCAGGCAGGAGGGAAGCGCTGGCTGCCAGGCTGGGAGGAGGGGCAGGGAGCCCTCACCTTGACGGAGCTGCCCAGAGGCAGGCGACAGCTCAGCCCAGAGGGCGAGGAGCACCGGGAGGAGGAGGAGGCCTGACTTCATGCTGCTGCTGTGCCAGATGCCCGGCGCCGATCTGCACCTGCTTATATGCCGCCTGCCAGCCCAGTGCTCCAGTCCCAGGCGGCACATTGCACAAGATGCAGCGCCAGGGACTGCCCCTCCCGAGAGATACGGAAGCAGCAGGGCCCTGCGAGAGCCGGGGAACGGCCCTGGGCGGGCGGGTGGAAGTGTAATAACAGGCTGCAGAGGTGAGTTCATGTGTCCGGGCGGCACCGTGCGCTGGCTGAGGCATCCGGCAAACAGCTGAGCCAAGAGGCCACTGGGCACTGGCCTTGCAGGGGAGCGAACCTCTGGGGATGCCCAGCCAGCGCCAGCCCCTGGACCATGGCAGAGACCTGGCTCCCCTGGAGCTGAGCTGCCCCCCTCTCCTCCCACACACACACGTCTTCATTCACCGCCAAGCCCCCTGCCCTTGGCGGCTTCCCACGAGGCGTGGCCAGGCCCACACCTGCCAAGCGGCAATTACTGAGTCTGGGTGCACAGGCCTGGCAGCGCCCCAGCCCCGGGGAGCAGGACTCATGGGTCCTCCCCTCCCTCGAGGTACCGCTCCAGAACCTACCCCAGCACCTCACCCTCTGTCCTGTGGGCGGGAGACAGGGCGGGGTCGGTGTCTCCTTCTCGCTCTCCCGCTGGGTCCCTCTGACGCCCTGCGGGGGGCCAGGATACGGCCCCCCCAAAGGCCTGGGTGACCTGTGTCTATCATGAGCTCCAGAGCACACCCAGTCCCGCTCCATAATTGCAAGGCTGCCATTTATGGAGGAACAGGGGTGTGGTAGCCCCCTCCCCATGTTTGAACCCCTGGATTTCATACTTGAGGTCTGCTTACAGCCTGTTGCCCTGACTCCAGAGGCAGCTTTTAACTGCAGCTCGCTGCTTTGCCTTTGGGGCAGGGACTTTGTCATAAGAAGAGGGAGGCAGGTGACTAAGAATAGCAAAAGGCTGGGCATGCCAGTCACTGGAGGGTTGTTAGAGCATCAGGACAAGCTTGCGGGGTACTCCACTCAAAAGATGGGGGGGAGTGAATGTTGTTTTAGGGATTTGCATTTGCATTACTGTGTTACATTTACAAATGTCCTTGAAAAAGGAGTGAACAGGAACGAATCCAAAACTGACTGGAAAGAGCTAGAAAGGGACGTCACAACATTGGTGGCTGGGCAACACAAGGGCAGATGGAGTTCAGTGTTAAGTGCAAAGTGACGCACGTGGGAAATATAATCCAAACCATAGATACAAGAATCGCTGTTAGCACTCAAGAACGAGATCTTGGAATCCTTGTGGAAATCCTTAGGGGTTTGGAACGGGTCCCAGAGGCTAAAGCGACTGGGACTTTTCAGTTTAGAAAGGAGGAGACTGAGGGGGGATATGATAGAGGTCTATAAAATCATGAGTGGTGTGGAGAGGGTGAATAAAGTCCCCCCGGTTAGAATGCCTCTCCCCACCCCTCTGCGCTCACCGGGCCCTGGCACGGGAGCCCCTGCCTTGACGAGGCCCTGTCAGTGGAGGGCAAGCCCCTATCTGGGGCAGGTTAGGCGCAGTTCTGCTCCCTTTATCCACGCAATGAAGACCGCGGCGTTTCGCTCCCCTGCACTCAGCACTGCAGTGATTTGTAACCCAGCACCAGGCAAGCTTGGCCGCAGCGAGCAACACCCTCTGTCTTCCGCACGGCTGGGCAGAGAGCTGTGATCCGCTTGCTCCTGACCTTCCTCCCCCTCACTCCGGCTCTTTCCATAGGTCGGCTCCTTTCCATGGCAGCCGGGGGATCTCTGCGCCCGCCGCCCATCCCTTTGCAGGCTGCTTGGCTGTGCCGCATGGCCACTTCAGGTCTGGGCCTCACTCCCCCACCCCACCCAAGCTCAGAGCAGACCCGGGGTCTCTGCCTAGCTCCCGTCTCTCCCTCCCAGGGCTCAGAACCTGTAGGGAGCCTCTGGGGTCTGGAGCAGGAAGGCTGGAGAAAGCCTCTTCCCCTGGGAGCTGGAGCCTGGCCGTAGGCTCTGGTTGCTCCACAGGGGATGGGGGAGCGAGCCGGAGTGTGGAAAGTGAGAGGGCCCATCAGATCACACCGCTGTGTCCTCACCAGCAGGCCCGCTCCTGCCCCCAGGGACAGTTCAGCAGCCCCAGCATCTGTGGGAAGTCTCGGGGCCCTGCTGGGCCAAGCTGTGTTTATCTGGCTGAAGCTCCTGTCCCCGGGCTCTGGCAGCAGCTCGCTGTGCTAGGGAGACACAGTGAGACATGGAAGGTAACGAGGCAGGGCAGCATGATCCTCTTGTGGCGAAGGTCCTGTAAGGCGGGGGACCGTCATCCTCAGGGTCTCCAGCACACAACAGCTGGGCCCTCGGCCCCGGGGACTACATGGCAGCTCACGTTCTGGGGGCCCCACAGGCTCTCAGCTCCTCCTGGTCAGTCTCTCATCAGCCCTGTGGAAAGGGGGGACTCGGTCAGGCCAAGGGCTGGCCCTGAGGCTGCGGGCTAGGGAGAGAGGGGACCAGCAGCAAGGGCCTGCAACCCTGGACTGCCTCATGCCCGTGCAGCCGGGCTCACACTACGGAGCCTGCCCGCACTTTGCTGAACCTCACCTGCACGGGGGGTTGGCACGTCCGGCCACACCCGTTACTGCAGCACTTGTCTCTTCCAGCACAGTCGTCATCGTCATTGCACCCCAGAATGCAGAGCCCTCCTGTTGTCGTGGGGCAGGACCCAGGTTTCTCTGGAAGACAGAGCGTCCCAGGGTAGTGAGACACCTGGCTGATAAACCCCCATCCCCACCCCGCTCCAAGTGGGGCAGGGCGGGGAGGGGCGGGAGAGACAGCAGTGAGAGATTAGCTACCCGATGGGACACTGGGCTCCCTCTGCAGGCCCAGAGTCCCGAGAGCTCAGGGTAGGGAGGAGGGAGAGAAACAGCCACTTCCGCCTGCAGCTCTGGGCCAGGCGAGGGATTCTGCCCCAGGGCTCCAGCCAGGGCAGGCTGGATAAACAGGGCAGAGGGAGGGGCCACGGGGCCGGCCGGCCGCAGGAGGGAACATCTGCCCCCTTCCTGTGACTCCTCTCCGCAGAGCTGGTGTCTCACAGCTGGGCTGATGGGAGACCCTGGCTGGGCCGTGCCCGGCTCCTCTGGCTGTCAGGGCAGCAGCGGGGGCGGGAGGGCCAAGGGCGCCTCACAGCTGCTCTCTCACCCCAGCAAAGAGCCGCCTCCCAGGGCAGCCGTTTGGCAACTGGAGAAGGGAGCCGTTGCTGCATCACCCAACGGCCTTCGCCATGGCCTGTAAGTTCCTGTTCCAAAGGGAAATGCAGCAACAGGCTGGCGCTGTGACAAAGTGGGGGATTTGTCGGGGTGACATGGAGAGGGGAACACTCAGTGCCCCTGGATGTTACTGGTTTAATGAAGGGAGGGGATGGGAGGGGAGAGGGAGTTTGTTGTTACAGGAACAGCACGCAACTGGAGACCCCAGCGACTGGTGCCCTGCTGCCCAGGAGACTAGCTCGGAGGGCACAGCCAGGTGTGGCCAGTGGGAGGCCAATGGGCTGCAGAGAAGGCTCCCAGCTGGTTCCAGCCAGGGAGAACAAAGGACGGAGGAAGGGAGGCGGAGAAGAGGGGTCCAGGTGACCCTGTTACCTGGAGAGGGACAATGGACGGGGAGGGGCTGTAGGGGATATTGGAGGCTCAGCTGGAGGAAGGAGGCTTCGGAGCTGGGCAGAGGCTGCAGCAGGGGAGACTCAGACGTGTGGGGCTGCGGGCCCAGGCCAACGGGCCTGAGGGATCCGTTGCTGTGTTCAAAGTGCAATAAATCCCCGTTTGGTGCTGGCTGGGGGTCACTCCGGGCTGGAGAACGGGGCTGCGCTATTCCCTCCGGGAAGGGAGGCCCCAGGGGTCCGTCAGTACCAGGAGCTCAGCCCCCCTGGACCGCCCCAGCAGATCTCCAGCCCCACCCCTCTGAGCCTGGCCCAAGGAACAGCATCCCGGTGCCCCTCTCACCTGCACTTCCGCAGGTCCTGAGACATTCGTCTATGGAGGCAAACCTGTTCCCGTTGCCCTCGCAGCCGCCGTACGTGAACGCCTCACACTTCCTGGTGAACCAGTTGTAGAAGTAGCGGGTCTGGTAGGAAAAACACGAGCCCGAGTCCATCGGGAGCTTGCAAACTTCATTAACTGCCGAGAAGGAAAGGGAGAAATCTGTGAATGGACTTGGCCTCCTCATTGACAACTAGCCAAGTCCCAGGCCCCCTGGGGGTGAGACGTGCAGCAGGTGCGGCGGGAGCTGGGACTAAACGAAGACTCGCTCCAAGTGCGTGAGCTGCGGGTGTGCCAGAGCCCCATGTGAAACCCGGCCAAGGTTTGCACCATTTGCACTAGTCTCAGAAGCACAGTTAGGGCCAGCGTTTTGTGAACATTAGGCAGTCAAACGGGCAGACAAAATGCACGAGCAATTCCCAAGCAAACTGAATGCCCAAATTCACAAGCTGAACATTCTCGGGACGGGGAATTGTCTACAAAACCGACTTTCGCTTTTCTGCTGTTTTCACATAATTCGAGTTTAATTATTTTGTCTGGCTCTTAAACAAGCCTGACAAGCCTCACGCTGCCTGAGGGATGGTCTGGACATCCTGAGCCAGGGTCACTCTGCATTGCGGATCATTGCGGATCAAACAGGGGATGCATTTGGGAGGACCCTGTTTTACAGTGTTGCCAGCTTTCACGCCTTTATCCCGCCAATGGTCAGGATCAATGGGCCAATGGGCCTGGTCCCACCAATGCTTGAGCTGATATTTCCCAAGCTGTCCGGTGCAGAAGACAGACTGGGGCAATGGTCCCACACCCTGCACTTTAGAGAGCTCTGTGCTTCAGGGGGATGTGGGGCCCAGGGCT